ATTTTTTGATATTTTCCTGTGTGTTTAATCATTTGGTTTACTTATATTTTTTATCATGTTATATTTGCTAAATCATTTGCATCGCTCTTCAAGTTTCTGAGATGACATATTATTCATTAATAGTTATGGTATGGTTTTGTCATTTTATGTTTTGTAAATTCATCATAATTCTTTATGATATTGTAGATGAGTGAATCATAAGGGACTCAAAGCTCATAACCATGCGGTCACAGTTCAACTCAAAGTTCACAAAGTTCTTCTACATGTAAAGGCAATGATCCAACGAGTAAATAAGTGCTATAAAGAAACAAAAGCCAAGAGCAACATGTTATAACCATTTCAAAAAGTATGTAACTGAATATGGAGAAAATAGGGCTAAATGCAATTATTGTGACACGTCTTATTGCATGAAAATGGGGGAGGTTCTATAACCAATCTAAATAATCATATGAAGACATGCGTAGAAAAACCTCGATGAAACACTGCGGATTCTAAGCAATTAAAAATAGCAATACTTCGGACTGGCCTTGAAAGTGAAGCGACAAAACTTTCAACTTGGAAAATTGAAGATGATGTTATTAGAAAGACGTTGATTTACATTATAATCGTGGATGAGTTACCTTTTTGAATGGTAGAAGGTGAAGAGTTTAAGTCATTTCTTTACCATTCTTGTTTTACAATTAGAAGGGATTGTCTCGATTTATTCAACTCCAAGAAGTTAATGAAGAATGCTTTTGAAAAATATAAAAGTAGAATTTGTTTGACAACTAACACTTGGACTTCACTGCAATGGGTATCTTACATGGTTCTAACGATACATTAGATAGATGATGAATAAATATTGCAAAAGAGAATCATAAACTTTTGTCCGAAATTCGCTCATAGAGGTGAAAGCATATGTCAACCCCTTGAAAAGTGCATCTGGGATTGAGGGATTAAGAAGGCCTTCATTGTTACAGTTGATAATGCATCTACTAATGGTGTTGGTATTGAATATTTGAAAAAGAAGTTGAACCATCGAAATACTTCTATTGCAAATAGGAAATATATGCATATGAGATGTATTGCACACGCTATTAATATCATCATGCAAGTAGGTGTTAAGTATGCTTCTTTTTCTGTTGATCGAGTTAGAGATATTGTGAGGTACTTAAGTGCATCACCATCAAGGATGAAAAAAATTCTATGATCGAGCAGTAAAAGAAATGATAGATACTAAAGCTCATTTGTGTTTAGATGTGCCTACTAGGTGGAACTCAACGTATATGATGTTAAAGGCGGCTGAAAATTATGAGCATGCATTTGATTCATATGCTTGTAATGACAATAGCTTTTTTCTCGACCTCACAATTAGAGATAGAGTCCCTATATTTGATGATTAGAAAAATGTTCGAAGAATTACAAAATTTCTAAAGCCTTTTTATGATCTTACATTGATTTAAGGTGTCCGAATCTTTGCATGCCACCTCCCATTTTTTCTGGGAAACATTGATTGACATACATTGTTTACTTGATGAATGGATAAATTGTGAGGACATGGAAATAATCTCCATGGCTTCAAAAATTAGAGAGAAATACAACAAATATTTGGATAATGTCAAGAATATCAATTTCATAGTTTATTTAGCCATTATCTTAGATCCGAGACGTAAAATAGGCTTTGTCAATTTTTGGGTATACTTGTTTTTTCCCCATGTTACTAGTGATGTTATGAAGATGATTGATAAAGAATTGCATTGTTTGTTTTATGAAAACTCTTCCATTGTCGGGAAAATGTGAGCCATGAAGGTCAATCAAGTGTTTCGAGAAAAGTTTCTATACCTATGGATTTACATCAATCAAAGGCGAGTTTGGTCATGCAACAATATCTGTTGAAGAAGCAATGACTTGGTTTGGAACAAAAATCTGAGTTGGATAAATATTTGGCTGAGGAGGAAGATGGAAACAACTCGAGTTCATTTGATTTATTATTGTGGTGGAAAGTGAATAATCAAAGATACCATGTTCTTGCACAAATGACTTAAGATGTTTTCTCGATTCCTATCTTTACAATTTCTTTAGAGAGTGCATTCAACACATGTGGACAAGTTCTAGATGGTTTTAGAAGTTCATTAATCCCGACAATGGTTGAAGCTTTGATTTGTACTTAGGAATTATTGATAAAGAAAAAGCTTTTTCAAAGCTACCGATAGCGCATGAAGAAAAAGAGGAAATCTAAGGTTTTTGAAAATGAAATTCGAGAACTGAAGTAGTTTGTTGGAATTGATTTTTTAGACTATCATCGTTTTGCTTTGTTTTTTGTATCGTCTTGTGATGTTGAATTTTCTAAACTATACTATGTAATTGTTATATTTAGTTATTAATATATTTTGAGTACTATTTTTCCTTTTTCCGCTGTCTTTGGTTTTGGTTCGACATGACTTGGATAAAAATGGGTTTTAACAAGGCCCATTGTTTAATAAAAAAAATATTATTTTGTAAATAAACTCAAACAACTCGACTCAAATTTCTTAAACTCGACTCAATTTGGAAAAAAAATCAAATTAAGGTTGAGTTGTAAAATATGACTCGTCAGCTCGAATAACTCAAATATTTTTACTATACTCGACTCTTTCTCGTTCATCGATGTTCTCGAAGATCACACTTTATGTCGTCACTGAATCTAACTAATTGTATCACTCATCGATACAACCTCTATAAAGATTATTGTTCTCAACTATTCGATACGTGCTCGACTGAAGATGCCTGGGTGTATTTATCTTAGTATGGTTACATCATTTGTAACCCACTTTTACGAGAGTTTTTAAGCTCTCTTGGTCCTTTGTGTATCTCATGGAATGAGTTCCCTTATTACGTATCATCATTAGCTATTATGGCCCTTAAAAAGGTCAAATCTAACCATCTGATGTGGGTAGTATTGATACTCTACTTGTAGTATCAATACCCTAGGGTCAAGTTTCAATACTCCTATAAGTATCAGTATTAAAAATACATTATGTTGCTGAAAATGAGGCCCAGTATCGATACTATCACCCTGAGTATCGATACTGTAGAGGCAGTATCTACTCCCAGCTGGAAACCCCTAATTTATGTCTTGATTCATCCAGTATCGATAATTTTCTTCCAGTATCGATACTCGAACCCAAAAATGTCTTATTTAGGCTCGAGAAACACCCAAAAGTCATCCTAAATGTCTTGGTTTGGTTCCTAATCATGTGCTAAAACTTTAGGAAGTTGCTTAGGGACATAAAATGGTATGAAAATGTCTTCTTTACATCAAATTCATCATCTAATCATAAAATCAGACATAAAACCTAAAACGCTTAATTACTAAAATCTTAGCAAACATTTACATTTTAGAAAGCCTTAACACTCCAAAGGATTAGAAATACACTACATTGATGTTATAAACCCGAAATGAAGCTATTTGCTTAGCCACACTCATTTCCTTTATGATTTGGATGAAACCCCACATTTTTCCTTTAGCTAGAAAGAACCCAATACTTGAATCATTAAAACAACAGTGCTGGAGGGAATATGGACAAATTTGAAGCATGAAAAAGGGGCTCAAGAACTTACCTTTAAGTTATGAAACTTGGAGAGGAAGAAGGAGATGAAAAGGAAGAAATGAAGAGAAAAGATGGAAATGAGTTATAAAACCCTCATCTTTACCAAATGGAGAAATTACGCTCTTGGTCCTTTCCTATCTTTCTAATATTCAAAAACCCTCTTTTGATTAATTGGGCCTAAGTACAACTCAATTAAGCCAAATTAGACTCAAAGACTTAAATTATAAAATTCACTAACTCCACATACCTTTTGGTTAAACCCAAAACTATTAACTCAAAATTTGGAGTGTTAGTTATGATGCTTGTTTAAAAAAAAGGAAGACAAGACATGATGGTCTGAAACAATGAACAGTACGAAATGAGGGCTTGTAGAAGGAAAATATTCAAAGTTTTCTCACCTTTTAAAGCAGAAGCAATGGTTGCGATACATGAGTTCGAACTAGCAAAATGTCTAGGTTTCAACCGAATCATCCTTGAAGGCGATTTAAGATCAATGACGGAGAAACTAACCTCCTTGCAACCAGGCCCCTTAGAAATTAGTGTCTTAATTTGGGCCACAAAATAACATGTAAAGGACTTCCACATTTGTGAGTTCAAATTTACTCCACGAAGGAAACAAAGTTGCACATCTGTTGGCTACAGAATCAAGGGAAGAAGATGTCGACATATTTTAGGTTGAAGAAATCCCAAATCAGCAGACGAGATAAGCGGTAGAGGATATGCCTTCGATTGATCCGTCATAGACTTTCATGGACGGTTGGATGTTCTAAAGGCTCGATCACAGTTTTTCTTTTTAGCTTATTGCAAGAACCTCATCGATCTTATCTCAAGAAATGTGAGAAGTGAAATGACCGGATGAAGAGATTAGATAGGTTTAGTTTTATCTTTAATTTTGTTTTTATGATTTTCATGTTTTTAGGGCTAGTTTTCTTTAATTTGTTGCTTTGTTTCGAGAAACTGGAAGACATCTAGTTTCTACCTTTACCCTTTGCTTTTAATAATATCCGACGTTATTATTCCAAATATATATATATATATATATTATTATATATATATATATATATATATATATATACTAATTATTATAGAATATATATGATAATATAAATAAACTTATATAATATATACCTGATATACTAATATTTTATTTAAAAAATTCATTATTTTGAAGATGGGCGTCGACAACACTTGAGAGTCAAAGTTGATTTGTAAAAGGCATTAACCATGAAGCTGTAAAAGTAATGGCCCGATTTGACCGTTTCTCTTCCTTTTCCTTCACACGTTAAACACTAATCCTCCCTTATTTTCCTCGCTTCCATCCTTCGTCTTCCTCTTTCCTTTGCAATCCCTCCCAAAGGCTTTCAAAGCAAGCCAGAAAGACCGAACCTCAAACCTTTCTTGTTTTGTTCTGTTCTGTATCGTCTCGTGTCGTGTTGTGTAAATGTGTCAAAATGAATACTCGAAGAATGGATCGCAAAAAGACCATGACCATGAATTGGGACGGCTTACGAGATGACGACGATGAGTTCTTCGAACCTACTCGCGACTTGGCTTCCGAAAACTCCGATGACGAGAACGAAGAATTCGACGACTGTCACGTTGCCTTCACTTCCATGGCACCGCCCGTTACGATGGAACAACCAACCGTCGCCCCCATGGCGACCCCGGCGGCAACCCAGGCGGCTCCCGACTACAATATCTGGATGGCGTCTCCGGGTTCCATTAAGGCGCGTAGACAAAAGCTTTTTCAAGGCATGGGCTTAAATTCCAACAAACAACTTCTCAGTCTCAAACGCATCGTTTCCAACAAGCCCCCTATCAAATCCGTTCCGGTTCCAGCTCCGGCTCCTGCACCAGATCCTGCATCTATTAAGATTACTTCTAGGGCTCCTCCATCATCCGAAGCTCCGGCGAGTGTTAAGACTACAGCTCAAGCGCCTGAAAAATCCAGACCCCTGACGAGTGTTAAGACTACTGCTCCCACATCGGAACCTGAAAAAACAACGAATGAAGATTCTTCGAAACAAGAGTTGCCTCACTCGCCGGTTTCTTTCCTGTTGGTACGATCCCGATCAGAAGGCGAGATCGATTCACGTTCAGTCGAAAAGCAAAGGAAACATGAGATGCTCGGCACCGTATCGAAGCAACGTCTAACGAGAACATATTCATTAATATCAACCCCATCTGCAAAATCATACGTCTTGGGAAAACTCAAAGTTTCTTCCCCAAGAAAACCAGAGAATAACCGTGCAGGACATAGACAAAGCGCTTCTTTAAACTCAATTGCCTCGAAACGTGCGTACGAATCGTTCTTCTTGATTAAGAATCTGGACACGGGGAAAGAGTTCATCGTCAACGAGTATGATCAAGACGGGATGTGGAACAAGCTGAGCGATCTTCAAACGGGGAAGAAGTTAACGATGGCTGAATTCGACAAATGCGTGGGGTATTCACCTGTTGTGAAGGAGTTAATGCGTCGAGCAAATGATAATAAGCCGAACTATATCTCCAAGAGCTTGAAGACGAGCATGAGTAAAGGTGCTTCCATGTTGAAAAGCATAACCAATTCAATGGCATTGAGGGGCGAGAAGGAAAGGGAAGTAGTTTTAGCCTTGGAACAAAGTCAGAAGAATAATAATGCTAAGATTGGAACTGGGACTGGAAACAATCAATGGGTGAAAGTTAGACAAGCAGGGAAATCATACAAGGAACTTAGTGCTTTGCATTTATGTCAAGAGATTCAGGCTCACGATGGATCCATTTGGGCCATCAAGTTCAGCACCGACTCCCGGTATTTAGCCAGCGCGGGCGAGGATAGCGTAATTCATGTGTGGGAAGTTCAAGAATGCGAGGTGATGAACGAAGGCGGTCTAACACCGGGGAGTTCACCTATTCATCCGTCGCAACAGAAACCGCCACCGAATAAGAACAGTCAAATTCCTGATTATGTCCATAAGCCAGAAGTTGTGTTTTCACTCTCAGACAGACCAATCTGTTCTTTCAATGGCCATACAGAAGATGTTCTGGACTTGTCTTGGTCCAAATCTCAGGTTCTATTCTCGCAATCCTTGCCGTTGATATTTCAATCGAGATAAAACCGTTGATTTATCGATTTTGCAGCAACTACTTTCATCTTCAATGGACAAAACTGTGAGGCTGTGGGACTTGGAAACCAAGAGCTGTATAAAGGTGTTTGCACATAGTGACTATGGTAAGATTACCTTCGTGTTAATCTATCAAACTATACAATCTTACTTATACCTTCCAGCTTCTGCTTTTTCATTTTCCAGTAACTTGCATACACTTCAATCCCGTCGACGACGATCATTTCATAAGCGGATCACTCGATGCGAAAATTCGAATTTGGAATGTACCGGATCGGAGAGTCGTCGATTGGACCGATGTCAATGAAATGGTCACTGCTGCCTGCTACACTCCTGATGGCCAGGTCTTGTGATTGATTGAAACCGTTCATTCATGTTAAGCGAAATCTCCAACTCTTTTCTAATTTGTACTGAATGCTTTCATAGGGTGCTTTTATCGGTTCACATAAAGGCAATTGTCGACTGTATAGTACTGAAGGTACATATAGTTTACTCTTTTCGGTTCAAAATTTAGTTGCCATGTATTTGTTCTGTAATGTTCTTGTTTTAATTGATGTTGTAGAATGCAAATTAACTCAGAAAGAACTGATTAACGTTCAAACCAAGAAGGCTAATGCTAAAAAGATCACCGGTTTCCTGTTTTGTCCGACTAATCCAGCTCAAGTACTCGTGACTTCGGCGGATTCTCGAATCCGAATCCTGGAAGGTTCGGAAGTGATTTATCGGATCAGCGGTATGGCTCCGGAAAAGACTTAAATTTCCGTATCCGTTTTCATTTTTCGTTCGACACTTTCTGCATATACGTTCATGGTTTTTGCAGGGTTCCGAAACACTAGTAGTCAAATTGCAGCTTCGTTTACTCCAGATGGGAAGTATGTGTTAACTGCAAGTGAAGATTCCCAGGTATTCTTTTGGAGATACGACGAGCCGAAGAGCACCAGCACCGGCACCGGTAAAAGAACTGTGGTGAATGCTCGCGGAACTGAGCAGTTTCCGTGTAAAGCCGTTTCGGTAGCTATCCCGTGGACCGGTACTATAAAAGGCGAGCCTCCGTCGATGGGGGGATCACAGTCGAAGAGGAACTCGAGACGAACGCAGTCATGTGACATACCACCAATCAATGAAGACAGCATTCAACCAAACAAGAAAGGTTTGCCACCACTTCCCAACAAGAAGAACAATGATGGGGAGAAAACCACTGCACCTTCGGAAGAAGAACCTTCCGAAACATCTAATGCCGAACCAGGGATCAGCGAGGAGTCGTCTTCGAAGTTAGGATCTTCGTCGATAAGAAAAGGTGATTCGCCGTCGATGTCATCTTCATCGATACAAGCCGGCGATCCAGCTTCGAACTCGAGTCCCGTCCCTGCAAAATTGGAGGTGTCGAATTCGCTGCCGGCTGTACCATCTATTTGGTCATGGTTCGATGTTGTAGGTGGCGGAGCCGCCGGTCCTACGGAAGCAACAGCATGGGGCGTAGTAATCGTTGCTGCCACACTTGATGGTGAAATCAAGGTGTACCAGAATTTCGGGTTGCCACGTAAAATTGCCCTTATCTAAAATGCAAAATTGGTTTTATTTCTTTCTCTTGTAAGACAATTTTTGTGTCTTTTCAAAAAAAAAATTGTGTATTAATATCTATAGCTAATTGAATGCAACATTTTTTACATTTTCATTTCATTTTTAATAAATCAACAATTTTATGGAAACAATATTCGTTTAATAATTAATTATAAAAATAACATTCAAATAACACTAAATATTCTCTTAACCGGAATTGTTTTTATTCAACAAGATACAACGTGTCAGTAGGGTTTGCCAACAATTTTTTTTTTGAAAGAAGGTATTTTGTATTAATAAGATTTACAAAATATACCACCTCAAGGATCTCATTAAAAAACCTCTATAATCCTAAATGGAGGAAAAAAAGTGCACCTTGAGGTGTTAAGGATCAAATACACACAATGAACATACACCAATTGAGAACCAAAGAGGAAGCAAACACATAACAACAACACCAACGGAAAGAAACAAAACATCGGAACGAAACAGCAGCATCAACCTGAATTTATACGATTCCTATCACTGAGAAACAGAGACACTTGCAAGATAAAACGAATCATTTGAACCTGACGCACCAAAATCTAAAGAGCTTCCTGACTAATCAAAAACTAGGAGAAACAAAAGCTAGCAGGACAACCAAATGAAGCTATATCGAACATGCAGAATCTGCCACCAATCACGAGCAATAATAGAAGCATCCAAAAAATCGGTCCGAATTGGATTATGTGATTATGTTCTATTCGAGTTTTTTAATTTACGGTCCGGTTTAAAAAATAAATATACAATTAATTTCGGTTTCGATTTTTTCATAAAAAATTGTTTGAACTGAACCTAATCGATTTTTAAAAAATAAAGAAAATAAGGATCAAAACAAGTTCATTTTGAATTCATTATAAGATAAATTTAAATAAATAAAATCATAAAATTAATAATACTTTTTATAAATTTAAATTTATATAATTGCACTAGGTTTAAGCTTTAAAATTGCTTTTTTAGGTTGAGTTTGAAAAAATAGTGAACAGTCAAAAATTGCAAAATCAAATTGAACCAAACTAAATCGAAAAATCGCAATTTTTATCCTATTTGGTTTCGGTTTCAATTTTTAAAAAACTCACAAGGTGCAATTCGATTCAAATTTAATGAAAAACTAAACCGAACGGAACCAAATATACCCCTAATGTCATAAAATGTATCTTTTATTGGATGATAAAGGAAGACACAAATACTAATTAAACTAATATTTAATAATATTTCATATAGAAAGATAAAATGGTAGTTCTCACACGGCCCTCTGCTCATCGGAGGGTGTCACGGTCATTGGATTGGTTTATGCCTTTCTGGTACAGGTTTTGATCAAGGTCTGTTAAAGGTATGTTGTTTCTATGGTTCTTACCTTAATCCCCTTCCGCTTACGGATCATGACACTCACGGGGATTCTTTATCGTATCCCTTTTCTGATTAGGATGATTGTTGTATTTTTATTGCTGGCCATGGGATTTTCTCCTTCAGGGGCACCACGAATTTTTCGGAAACCGGGTCTGTTGATTACAGTGTTTGCATGTGCCATGCACGATCCTTGTGGAGTAGTTTTTTAACTTCTCCATTACCTGCTATTTCAAACTTGTCAGATCTTTTGGAGTCTTTTTGTTTAGTCTTGAAAGTTGGTTCCTGGTTTTGGATATACTCCTTGCTGTATGATATGGCGGAGGAAGTTGAGAAATTGTTCGCCAAGCTGCACTTTACAACTGATGAGACCTCAGAAGTTCTTCTTCCGGGGGATCTGATTGATTTACCTCCAAATGTTATTGCTAATTGGTTGATTGGGAGAGTGACTCTAATGCGAGTTTTTGGGGCTATTTGGGGTAACGCTAGACTGGTATATGTGACTTTTCTGGGGAAATATACTTTTCTCTTCAAGTTGTCATCGAAGGTTGTTGTGGATTTTGTGTTCTCTCGTAACCCATGGACTTTTAATGGCGATCTTGTAGTAATAGACCGATATGAACCTTCATGGTGACTTGCAGTTTATGTTTTCAATTATTTAGATATCTGGGTTCGTATTTACAACCTCCCTATGGGATGGATGAATGCTCATGTAGGAAAGATGATGGGTAATAAAATTGGTGAGGCTTTAGCGTTAGACATTCGATCGTGGGCTGGAAGACTTGGATCTTACCTCCGAATTTGGGTTCGTATTAATATCCGTAAGCCTTTACGTCGGTGTGTTTCTTCTGGTCTTCGTCCGAATGACAAGCCACGTCTTTGCATTGTAAAGTATGAACGTCTTCCAAACTTTTGTTTTCGGTGTGGTATAGTGGGTCATTTGATTACTGGCTGTACTCACACAGACCCGATAACCTCTTAGGATTTGGAATAAAGGGACTGGCTTCGAGTCTTTTTCTCTGGTGTATCAGGTACTAATTCTCGTGTCAAACCAGGGATTGTCACATTTGTTCCAGTATCTCCAAACATTCCAACTCTCACTGGGACAAATTTGGAGGGCCCTTCCTCAGGTACTTCTCAACCTCAGGTTACTGCTTCACTCTCATCTAGGGTCCTCAAGCATCTGTCTCGGAGCAAGCTGACACCGCTCATCAGTTGGTCCGTAAGAAGGCTCGGGTTCATTCTTCTTTACCTGAGGTAACTATTTTTCCTGAAAATTTGGCGGCGACTGAGGATCAGCCCTGCCAGCCATTATGAATCTTATGTTGGAATTGCCGGGTGCTTGGGAATCAACCCCCAGACAGTTCGATCTCTAGAGCTTTTAGTAGCTCATAAAGGACCCACCCTCTTGTTCCTTTGTGAAAGTCGTCTTCGCCACCACCGATATGATTTCTTGAAGCATCGTCTAGGAATAGAGAGTTGTATATCGGTTGATAATAGTAATACTTGTTCTGGTTTGTTGTTATTTTGGGATCGTACAGTTTCAGTTACCTTGCTTTCTTTTTCAGATTTAGATATTGATGTTATTGTCGAGAGTGAGACTGATAAATTTCGTTTTACTGGGTTACATGGACATAGTGATCGTTGTCGACATTTTGAGACTTGGGCATTGCTTGATCGTCTCCAGGGTGCTTCGACATTGCCATGGTTATGCTGGAAATAAATCACTCACACAAATAACTTTTATTGAAACTTAAACAAATATTACAAGAGCACTCTCACTCAAAAACAAGAACTACAACTCACTCTTATAAGACTTTTCTTCTTCGCTCACTTAGAAGCTCTTAATTTTTCTTGATTCTTAAACTAAAATGGGGAGGAGTATTTACACAAATAAACTAATTAAAACCATTAAAAAATGAGACATACCTAACTCTCACCTAATTAAATTGATGTAAGCAATGACATCTTCACCTAATTGATGTAAGCAATGACATCAACTTAGTTTGGGTTTGGGTTTAGGCTCCCATAATGGATCAAGTTTATGATCCAACACCCCCTTAAACTTTATCTTGTAAACCCTAGTAAGTTCCTTAATCTTATAAAGTTTTCACTTGTCAGGGGCTTGGTAAAAATATCGGTAACTTGATCTTGTGCCTTAACGTATTCAACTTCCACATCGTTTCTTGCAACACACTCCCTTATATAGTGGTAGCGAATTTCGATGTGCTTGCTTTGATCATGGAATACTGAATTCTTTGCTAAGGCAATGACTGACTTGTTGTCGACACAAACCTTGGTAGTCTCTTCTTATATCAAACTTATCTCCTTCAATAGATATTTAAGCCAAATTTCTTGACAAACGCATGAGGTAGCAGCAACATATTCCGCTTCACAAGTGGACAATGTGATAATCGGTTATTTCTTTGATATCCATGTGAAAACATTATCTCCCATGAAAAATACGATCCAGTAATGCTCCTTCGATTATCTATGTCTCCACCCCAATCACTGTCGCTATCTCCAACAAGCTTGTAATCATTAAAAATTGAATAGAACAAGCCAAAGTCAATTGTACCTTTTAGATAGTGAAAAATTCTCTTTGCAGCTTTAAAATGGGTGGTTGTTGGAGATTTCATGTAGCAACTGACCAATCCAATTGCGTGAAGAATATCGGGCCTCGTGCAAGTTAGATAGCATAGACTTCCCACCAAACTTTTGAAGAATGTTGGATCTACACTTTCGCCTTCTTCATGTTTGGACATCTTGATCCCGTATTCTGTCGGTGTGCTTATTGGCTTACAATTCTCCATCTTGAAATTATAGTATCTCTTTTTCATAGCTTTCCTATTAAATGAAAATTCCATCCTTTTGTTGCTTAACTTCAATGCCAAGGTAGTACGCCATGAGCCCCATGTCTGTTATCTCAAATTCTTTCATCATAACATCCTTGAATTCTTTAAACATGCTTTGGTTGCTTCCGGTGAAGATCAAATCATCCACGTAGAGGCACATGATCAAAATATCTCCATCTTTGATCTTGATATATAGAGCATGCTCGTAGGGACATTTGTTGAAGCCATTCTCTTGGAAGTACTTGTCGATTCATCTATTTCATTCCCTTGGTGCTTGTTTTAGCCTATAAAGAGCTTTCTTCAACTTGAACACCTTATCTTCGTGCCCTTTGAATTTGTAGCCTGATGGTTGTTGAATGTAGACTACATCTTCAAGAACTCTACTTAGAAAAGTAGACTTTACATCCATCTACTGTATCTTCTACTTGTTTTGAGCTGCCAAAGAAATGATTAGTATGATAGTCTCCAATCAAGCAACAGGAACAAATACCTCATCATAGTCAATTACAGCCTTTTGACTATAGCATTTAGCAACTAGCCTTGCCTTGTGCCTTTCAATCTCTTTTTTGGCATTTTGCTTTGTTTTGTACACCCATTTGACACCTATCGTCTTATGTCCCTTGGGAAATGAGGTAAGTTCCCATGTGTCATTCTTCTCGATGGCCTTGATTTCTTCGTCCATCGCATCTCTCCATTTATTTTCTTGTACTGCTTCTTGAAAGCTCACTGGTTCACAATCGAAAAACAAACAAAATAATG